GAGCTTGAACTGTGTCCCCTAAGTTCTATGTATTAGAAACTTAGCCCCCACTGTGACTATTAAGAGGGTGGGAAATCCTACTGGAGTTCCTCTGGCCTCATCTCATCCCTAACTTCACTCACTCTTTTGGTCATCTCATCCAGTCTCGCATTTCTTAATAGCATTTAAATGCCAACCATAGTGGATTGAATTATATGCCCCCAAAGCTCACTGGAGCTTGAACTGTGTCTCCTAAGTTCTATGTATTAGAAACTTAGCCCCCACTGTGACTATTAAGAGGGTGGGAAATCCTATTATGGTTTTTGAAAGGTGGAGCCTTGAAGAGGTGACTGGATTGTAGGACTGTGCCATAGTGAATAGATTAAAAATGGTGGTCATGGGAGTGGTTCTGAGGGCTTTAAAAGAAGAGGAGAGTCTTTCTCTGCTCTCTCTGCTTCCACCATCTTGCAATGTGAGACCCCTGTGTCACTGTCACTACCACCATATGGACTTTGGACTTCCCTGCCTCAGAAACTATAAGCAATAAATTTTGCCTTTCTTTATAAATCACCCAGTTGCAGGTATTTTGTTATAAGCAACAAAAACGGACTAATACACCAACAATCCTAAGTGTCTATCTCTAGCTCAGACCTCCACCGGAATTCTAGACTTGTACATCAGGCTGCCTACTCAATAATTCTGTTTGGCAACTGGCAAATCAAATTTAACCAAAGCTGATCTCCTCTCAGTGTCCTCCTAAAACCTCTTCTACTCATAGTCTTTCCCATCTCACTTGATGGCAATTTAATTTTTCCATTTCTTCAGATCAAAATCCTTGGGATCTGGGCCGAGCCCATGGCGCACTCGGGAGAGTGCGGCGCTGGGAGCGCAGGAGCGCTCCTGCCGCGGGTTCAGATCCTATATAGGGATGGCCAGTGCGCTCACTGGCTGAGCGCAGTGTGGCCGGTCTCAAAAAGGACAAAAAAAAAAAAAATCCTTGGGATCATCTTTGACTCCTTTCTTTCTTTCTCTCACACCTCAAAATCAGTGCATTTCTGTATATCCTGAATCTAACCACATCTCACTATTTCCACTGCCTCTCCCTGATCTGAACCACCCTCATCTCTTGCCCAGACTATTGCAAAAGTCTCCTAACTTGTCTCCCTGCTTCTATTCTTATTCTCTACCATTTATCCTTAGCACAGTACTAAAAATGATCCTTTTAAAATGGAAGTTATATGGGCTGGCCCGGTGGCGCACTGGATAGTGTGCCGCTTGGGAAGTGTGGCGGCGCTCCCGCCCGAGGGTTCGGATCCCACATACAGACCGGCTCCTGCTCACTGGCTGAGCGAGGCGCGGGAGCAACACCGAGGCTTGTGATCCCGTTGCCGGTCCCCGGTCCGGTACGGGGGCAACACTGAGGGTTGCGATCCGTTGCCGGACACGGAAAAAAGACAAAAAAATTAAAAAAATTAAAAAAAAAATAAAATGGAAGTTATATCAAGTCTCTGCTCAAAACCCTACAGTGGCTCCCTATTTAATTGAGAATAAAAGCCTACAAAGTTCATCAACAGCCTACAGAGCTCTTCCTAACCTACACTCTCACACCCCACTGCACTCTGCTCACAGTGCCTATTATTCTCCACTCTTGCTCAGCAACAGCCTCATTAGCCTCCTTCTTTATGCCAAAGCCTTTTCACTAGCTGTTCCCCCAGATATCCGCAGGGCTAACTCCCTCACTTCTTTCAAGTCTTTGTTCAAATATCATCTTTTCAGTGAGGACTACCTCTACCACCCCTAGCTAAAAGTATAACCCTCAGCTCTAGTGAGACTATCAATCCTTCTCTTTTGCCTGCTAAGTTTTTTCCCTTAGCATTTATCATCTTCTAATATACCATATGATTTACTTCTTTACTTACTAATAGTGTTTATTGTATCTCTTCCCTGCCCACTTCCAAACAATAAGCTCCATGAGAAAAGGGATCTGTGTTTTATTTGCTGATATGCCCAGGCTCTCAAAAAATACTTGTTGAAAAGCATGATTTCCCATTATGCAGAAATGGCACTTCTAGAAATTATGTCTCAGATACTTGAGGGAATAGCTTCAGGCTACAGAAAGACTTATAGGATGATAGTGTTCTTCAAGATCCTATATTTGAGAATCACTCTAAAACTCAGATGCCTCCTGACTGCCCTTCTCTCCCCAAGCAGCTCCTCATCCTTCCCAATTATAATTACCTATAAAGTCACTGAAGAGATTCAGTCTAAATGCACAGTGACCTGCCCAGCACATGCAGCTCTCCAAACTCTGCTCCAGCCTCACTTTTAAGACCAGTCTAGTAACTTGGCATCCAGGTATCTCTGCCTTCCTGCTAGGCCAGCTTTGAGTGAACCTACTTAGAATAACTGGACTCTTATATACTCATGATGAACCAGTCTTATACCTCCGTTCTAGTAATTAGGGACCCTTGTCTTTCTCTTTATATTTCATTTCCTGTCTTGCTATCCTGTCCTATATTCTGGTTCCTCAGACTTAAACTCAGCACCTGTGCTCATTTAGTCTTTCTGGAGTCCTGTCCTGGGCCCAGTCCCTGTTTCTGAGCCCTAGACCTGCCTCTCAGGACCTGGTCCTCTACTGTTTGCTTTCTTCCAGACCTCTTGGATCTTGAGAGCTGCACAGCAGGCCTCACTGGACCTCCTCACCTCCAACTGTCTGTTTACCTGGACCTCTGTCCATAGATACCTTGATTCCTCCAACTTGCCTTCTCATTACTCCTTCACCTGAATGTCCTGATCCCCTCTTATCATTAATTCTGAGAACTTTCTGAAGAGCCAGCCAAGCCCTGGTCTATTTGGTTTCTCTATTTAGGATCTAATAAGGGGAGTTCCAGTCAAGATGGCAGAATAGATGGTCCTCAGCCTCACTCTCTCCCATAAATCAACCAATTTACAACTGTAAAAATGTAACATCAGCCAAGCTGGGGCCACTGGAGCTCAGGGGAAGAGCAGGAGAGACCTATGGAGTTCATAAAGGTGGGAGAAACCACGATGAGAGAAAGAAAAAACTGCTCTGAGCATTTCGGGCTGTGGCCACTTTAAGGCTCCAGCTGCTGAACACATGGAGTAGGAGCCAGCAGAAGCTGCAGCTGTGCCCTTCAGATGGAGTTACTTGGAGATGGCAGGTGAGAAGAGAGCCTTGGTGGCTCCCATGACAGCAAGACCACTAATAGGGTTCCCGTGGACCCAGCAGGAGCGAGGAGCCAGAACAGCTGTAAAAGGGGAGTCATTCAGAGGCTGGTGAATCATCACAAGGGACCAGTGCAGGGCCCGTCCCATGGGAAGTGTTTGGAGCACGGGCAGTGGGGGAGACAGGCCCACCTGGAGAACACTGGGACAAAACAAGGACAGCTGATCTGCCCCCCAATCAGCGCAGGACCACTCAGAGGAGAGTGGTTGGTAATGCAAATTGCAGCTTGATGAAAAACCTCAGGCCCAGGTCAGAATTTCTACACAACCCAGGTGCATTGGATCTCTGGAGAGCCAGAAGTACCTATAAGGTCAACCATTAAACCCTGAGCTGCACAAAAAGCCTTCCCTAGGGAAACAGCAGCAAAGCAGCAATTTAGCTCAACCACACAGCTCAAGTACTGGTTCCCACAGGAAGTTGCCCCATTTAAGAAGCAAAGGACAAAAAATTAGTTCTAGCCCAGGCACACCACCAGAACCTTGGGGCTCCATACATGAAGTATGGAGCCGGGGACCAGACCCCACTCCCTCATCCAGGCAACCACCAGTGCCTTGGGGCCCACCCGCCGACCTGAGGCATGGAGAATAGGACCAGACCCCCCCTCCCACAACCAGGCACGCCACACCACCATCTTGGGGCCCGCCTGGGGACCCAAGGCATGGAGAAGGGGACTGGACCCTACTACCACAACCAGACACACCACGCCAGTGCCTTGGGGCCCGCCCGGGAAACTGAGGCATGGAGAAGGGTACTGGACCCCCCTCCCACAACCTGGCACACCACGCCAGCACCTCGGGGTCTGCGCAGGTACCTGAGGCATGGATCTGGGGACCATACACTGCCCACAACCAGGCACACCGCCAGCACCAAGGAGCATGCCAAAGACATCACCTCCATGTGGGTGGCCCACAAAAGTGGCTACATGCCACAAACACCATGTGACAGTCCACCAGCCACTGGAGTGCATTGACACAAGGAGTCACCAGCAGAGATAAAGAAAAGAAGAGGATGTCTCTCTCCACAAAGCCCATTTCAGAGTGACAGAAGAAGCATTTGCTCTGTGATAATATTGGGGGACCTGACCACACCTCTCAGCATTGGACAGATCATCTAGGCAACAAATCAACAGAGTAACCATTATTCTTTCAGAAGGAGAGAAGAAATCTAGGGTAATTAGAGGGGGGAGGGGGAGGGGGAGAGATGGGACAAGGGGCATAAAGAATAATTACAATTTGTAACAATATATATGCTAGTAATATTGATTTGATCAACATATCTCAATGTTGAACCCCAAAAATATGTATAATCAATTTTGATTCAATAAAAATTTAAAAAAAAAAAAAAAAGATCTAATAAGGCCTGGCCCAACCCTGGCTGAGCCTTGAGTCTGAAAATAATGGATATAAACTTCTAGCTCCTCAAAGGACATAGGCAATCTTCCTAACAGTGTCAGAATAGTCTCAGTTAAGATAGCTGAAGTTGGTTGCCAAAATAATCAATGTCAAACAGTTATTTGAGTTTTCTTCGGTACATCTGTTTTACTTAGATCCTTTCAATTGGATATTACCAGAATACACTTTGCATCTGGTGCCTTGAAAAAGAGAGCACTCTTTTAGATTTCTCAGGAAACTGGACAAAAACAGATGTTTTGGGTCCAAATAAAAAGTAAGTGATGGCTACTACAGTCAGCCCAGTACTGGAAGTTTTTTAGACCTAGAATCCAATTTTCATGCTTACTACTCCTAGTACATCTCTTAGGATTAAAGCCACATACCTAGAAGCATCAAGGAATGGTCTGTAGGCCAAGCTGATCCATTCTTCTCTATTAGATGAATATTTCGGCTCCCGGGGTGTTTCTCTCATGGTGTCCAAATCCACTAAATAATGGCATTTACTGATGTCGATCTGAAATGGAAAAAGGCCAACTAATCATCAGTAATTGCATAGGTCCCTTCAGGGTAGGGAATATCAATTGCAATCCTAAGAATTCCTACAGGGTTTCAGAATCTTCAGACAATGTTACCTGTGCACTCTCCACTCAGATTAAGAGTGTTAGGGTATTATTTAGGCTCCTGGGGGCAGGGCATTTGCTTACTCAGCCAAACATATTTGTAAGCTTTGTGTGGTCCGACTCTAGTTTGGGTTCTTAAGTCTCTCTAGCCCCACAGACACTTCTGAAGCCACCATGAGTCCACAATCTATTTCTGGGAGACCTATCTTCTTCTGTTCACTAGTGTGCCCTTCCAGTCTAACACCTCCTATTCCAGAGACTGAAAGGGCATGACTAAATACAGATGCTGATGGTGAGAGGAAGCCCAGACTTTTCGGACAGAGTCACGGGAAATTAGACTACACATCACAGGAGACTGGACTATACCTCACAGGTAGTACAGAGATATCATGCATATTGTCTCCTTCAAAAATTCAACAGAATTGACAGAGACATTGGAACTGTCACTGTAGTGAAAGTTCAGTAAAACTGAGATATCAGACCTGCAGGAGTGAAAAAGATTTCAAAAAATACACAGTATTAGCAAAACTAGACTCATCCACTTGCTCACAACATGGATACACCAGAGCATTATTTTAGACTCATAGGATGTAAAAATCAATGCCAAATATTCCTATATAATAGCAGCATACAAAATTTTATAAAAATATAATTTACAAGGATTTGAAAATATTTGCCTTGGAATAAGTCTAATAAAAGATGGCAGAGTCCTCTATAAAAAATATAGAACTTTACTGACAAATGTCCAACTGGTGAATTTATAATATGGCATATCTATATAATTAAAATGCAGCATATCCAACTACAGTATTCATCCATAAAAAGGAATGAAGTTCTGATACATACTACACTGTGGATGAACCTTAAAAGCATTATACTAAGTGAAAGAAGCCAGACACCAAAGGCTACATACTGTATGATTCCATTTATATAACATGTCCAGAATAGGCAAATCCTCCAAGACAGAAAGCAGAGGTTTCTAGAGACTGGGGGAGTGATGGCTTAATGGTTATGGATATTTTTTGGAGGGGTAGGGGTGGTAAAAATGTTCTAAAATTAGATATTGGTGATAGTTGCACAACATTATAAATGTTCTAAAAGCCACTGAATTGTACACTTAAAATGGTTAAAATGGTAATTTTTTTTCTATTTTTTAACCATACATGGACTTAATAAAGTGGTAAATTTTATGTTATGTAATTTTATCTCAATAAAAAGATCATAGGGCCGGCCTGGTGGTGCACTCGGTAGAGTGCGGCGCTTGGGAGTGCGGCGGCGCTCCTGCCGAGGGTTCAGATCCCATATAGAGACCGGTCTGCTCACTGGTTGAGCGCGGTGCGGGTGTGACACCGAGGGTTGCGATCCCGTTGCCGGTCGCGGTACGGGCGCGACACTGAGGGTTGCGATCCCGTTACCGGTCATGAAAAAAGACAAAAAAAAAAAAGATCATTGAAACGGTGAATTTTATCTCAAAAAAATTTCTGATAAACAATAAAGTAGACCTTATTAGAGTGATGTACCTTATTCCTAGATGAAAAACTCTCTATTATAAAGATTTTGATTCTAAACAAATTGAATGACAGATTAAATACAATCTCAATCAAAATCCCAACAGACTTTTGTGCAACTTGGAAAGTTAATTCTAAAATGTATATGTAAATATAGCTAAGAATAGCTAAGGCACTCTTAAAATAGAAGAACAAGGTGAGAGGCTTACGTACTATAAAGCTATAGTAATTAAGACAGGGAGGTATTAGTGCAGGAATAAACAGATCAAAAGACAAATGAAACAGAATAGAGAGCCTAGAACAGATGCAGGCACATAGGGACCCTAATTTATGACAGAAGTGACACCATGAAGCAGTGGGGAGAGGATGGTCTCTTCAATAACTGGTGCTGGGACAACAGGATATCCACTGGGGGAAAAATGAAATTGATCTTCAACCTTACTCCACATATGCAAAACAACTTCAGATGAATAACAGACATAAAAGAAAAGCAAAACAATAAAGCTCTTAGAAAGTAATGTAGAAAAATATCTTCAAGATCTTGGGGTAAAAGATTTTTTACAAAAGACACAAAAAGCATTAACTGTAAAAAAAAAAAAAAAAAAGAAAAGAAAAAGAAAAAAAAAGATAAACTTGACTACATTAAAATTGAGAAAATAGGGCCAGCCCATGGTTCACTTGGGAGAGTGTGGTGCTGATAATGCCAAGGCCACAGGTTCAGATCCCTATATAGGGATGGCCAGTTAGCTCACTTGGGAGAGCATGGTGCTGACAACACCAAGTCAAGGGTTAAGATCTCCTTACCAGTCATCTTTTAAAAAAATAAAAAAATAAAAATAAATAAATAAAATTGAGAAAATCCCTTCATCAAAAGACATGATAAAGAGAGTGAAAAGAGGAGCCACAGAATGGAAGAAGATATGTAATACATTTAACCATCAAGGATTCATACCTGGAATATATAAAGAACTCCTGTTAATCAACAAGACGAAGACAAACCACTTGAACAGATACTTCACAAGAAGAAATCTAAATGGCCAAAACAAGTGAAAAAGTGCTCAACCTCATTAATAATCAAGAAATGAAAATTAAAACCACAATGAAAAATTACAATGCCAAGTGTTGGCCAGAATGTGGAGCAACTATTATGCATTTTTGGCAGGAGATTAAGTTGGTATAAGATCTTTAAAAAACTATTTGGTAGAATCTACTAAAATTGAACATATATACTTCCTATGATCCAACAATTCTACTCCAAGGTATTAAATCGAACCATATGAAATCATTAATATTTGATGTTTGATCCAAAAAATGGTGATTTCATATGGTTCAACTTAATGTATATCCAACAGAAATGTCTGCACTAAAAGACAAGTTCAAGAATATTCAAAGTAATATTACTTATAGTTGGCCCAGACTGGAAACAACCACACATCCATCGACAATAAAATAGTAAGTAAACTGTGGTACAGTCATGCAATGAAATACTATACACAAATAAAAGAGAACAATCTACAGCTACATGCAATAACATGTGATTATTACAAACTAAATGTAGAATGAAAGGATCAACACACTAAAGAATAAATGCAATATGATTCAGGTAAAACTAATCTAAAATTGGTTAGGGATGCATGTTAAAGTGGTAAATCTACAGAAAAAAGCAAGGAAATTATTACCATAAAAAAATCAGGAGAATCCCTCCAAAGGGGAGTGTGTGCAGTTATCGAAAGGTATTACTGGGGGAGTTTTCAGTGCTGGCAATGTTCTATTATTTGACCTGGGTGATGGTTACAAAGGTACTTGCTCTATTATTATTATTATTACTAATTTACTGTACATATTTTAGGCTTACGGGTTATACATAACTGAAGGTTTTTAAAAAGTGCATATAAGAACAACTTGGTCATCTCTGGCTTACAGTAAATTCTGTTCTTCCCCAACTTCTCCCTCACAGCAATGTTCTCAGTCTCTCCCAGCATTATTTACATGTAAAAAAGACTGCAGTCTCACATCTGTCTCTACATATGGGCTATTTCTCTAGGGGAGAGAGCACACTGAGAATTGACGTCAGGCTCAATTCCATTCCACATATCTCTCTAAAAATGATCCTTTGCATAAACACTTCAGGAAGTAGCCTTTTTGGTCTAAACACCCACTCTGTAGCTCCCAAGGGCTATAAGAACATGAAACAAGTTTTTAAAAAGGTTTACAAGTGCCACACTGTATAATCAAACAGAACAGCAAGAAGCAGAGACTCTTGTGGTCTCAGGCTTAGGCCTCCTTCGATGAGGGAGCCCTCAGTATGACATTTCAACACTTGATCTCAGCTTGGCTTTTTCTGGCCAGGCACACTACAGGTCTGGTTATCTAGATTTGTTGTTAGGTACATGGTCTGCCAGAGATGTGGGTGGTAACTAATTAATACCTAATTACACTAGTCAGCTTAGGCTTTACCCATCACACCATTCATAAGCAAATTTCATTTAAAGTAAAGGTCTCAGAAAGATACCTAGGCAAAATCACATTAATTGAGATATTAATCTACTAAAAAAATGTAAACTCTTTTTCATCCTTTCCAGGAAGCAGCTGCTGAACTAAAACACAAGTACAAAGGCCTCCAGCAGAAAATGGCGAGGTATGGTCAAGGGCAGGTTCTTCATTAGAGAAAAAATAGGGCTATTAGAAAAGGAGTTTTAAATCAGCAGGCCTAGATTCAGGTCAGGGCTCTACCACAAACTAGCTGAGTGACCTATTCTCATTTAAGTTTTTTATACCTCAATTTTGTCTTCTGTAAAATGAAGGTAACACCACTTACCTTGAAGAGTTATAATCAGGATTAAATGAGATGACTCATATGTATAAAACTTATAAAAGGACCACATGAACAGCAGGAATAGTAGAAAGAATCCTTGACCAGCTCTGTGGAATTTGAGAATTTAACTGGTAGAAAAGAATCCCGAAGCATTAGGGTCCATTAAAATGAATTATTCTTGTTTCAACCTAGATTGGGGTCTATTCAAGCTAAACTCAATACACAGGACAGAAGGGTTACAACATTAACCACTCACAGTCCCTGATTAGCAATGAATTAGCAACATCCACTAAATGATATCAAAATGAATCTTCTGAACATCATCAAAGCATTTATTAATTACCTATTTGGTGAATCCTAAACTAGAATACATAAAATTGCTGTAAGACATATCCCTGCTCTTGAACTTCTAATTTAGGTCAGGAAATGACATGAGCATATATGAAATACAGAAAGTAAGTGTTAATCCAAGAGCAAACAAAGTTCAGACAGGAAGAGATCACTGGGGGCTACAGTAGTTGAAAATATTTCCTGGAGATGGTAGCAAAGGCTAAATAGAGAACAGAGGGGA